ACTGGAGGAACTTAAAAATCTAACTTATTACCAAAGATCAACAACAGGTGTGGGAAGAGGTAAAGGAGGTTAATGCTTTTCAACAAGCCTGCATAGAACTATTTAAAAGAGTTAATGCCCAACTATTTTTTTAAAATTAAAATCAACTATGAGTAAAGACTCAAAGTTCACATCTCAACTCTCCCAAGACATTCATTCTACCTTTTGAGTCTCAATCTCTTTATTGATAAATCAGGGAGCACATCTCCCTGGTTCATGTTGTCTAGCACCTATCAGGCACTTATCAGTCACATAATAGCTTCTCAATACTTGTGAGCCACTGTTGTTATGCAGAAGAGCTTGTGAAACAATTTTTAGCAACTCAATCCAGGAGTGAGCGTTTCTTAATGTTTCTTTTATCGGCCTCAAATTTATTTTGCTGGAATCTAAGCTGTTCCCTCATTTTTGCAAAGTTGGCGATAACATCTGTTTAATACTTTTTGTATAAGGAGGCCAGATTGCGGGCATGTGTTTATGCCACCATTAACATAACCATTCCTCAACAGAGGTGTTTTCTGGCATCTCAATGACCTAATTGTAATCTGTAATCTGGCTGATTACTGGCTAGACAGACTGTTTTAGTAACAAGAGGAAATGAGAATGACACACATACACACATATATACATATACATACACTCATAAATACATACATACAGAATCATATATATATATATACATACATACACACACACACACACACACACACACGTATAATCGGTTCTTCAATACATATAAAAGTCAAGGTCCAGCTGCAGACTTCTTTTTGTTTTATGCTTTTTTTGGTATGGAGCGTGCAGGGAATGTGAAGAATAAATGCTTCCTTCTTTTGGGTCCCTTAAGCAACTGACTTTGAAATGAACTATGGCAAACTCAATGACAGTCTATTAACCTTGGTTTAACGACCAATAGTTTAGTAGGGTTTTTTATTATTTATTTATTTATTTAGAAGAATTTCTAAATCCATAGGGCTAGTCCTTGAGTCTTTCCCCCCTTTGAAAGCCCCACGCTAAATGTGGTCCAAACACCACATCTACACAGGCAGTGCTTTTCCTGACAACATCCTCCTTATTTTTCAATGTGGCCAATTTCCCAAGCATATCCAGTGTCTGAAGTCAACTGAAGATGAACTGATTCAACTTCTGACAGAGGCTTTCTCTGTCTACCCTTACCCACACCCCCCACCCACACCTCCAGTGCCAGGTCAAGGCCTCCACGGGTCAGATGGAAGCTTAGAGAGAAGCGATTTCCTCTTTCAAGCCCTCGCCTGAATATCCAGTAGAAACTTGTGGAATAAAACCAGGCTAAGCTGTTGTTCTCAAACATGTTTATTTGTAAGTTTTACATGGTGTGTTACAGAAATTAATGGAAAATTTCTAAAAATTTCGCTGTTCTGTTGAATGCATTGTACATAAAGTTAAAAATAATGTGTCCATATATGTTAACAAACTGTCATCTGAGGTAAAGTTAAAGTAGGTCTAGAAATGTACGGCAACAGTCATTTCTCTTTCTCATCTTTATTAAAAAAATAGGTGTCAGAACGCAGAAATTGAAATGAACCAAACCCACAGAGTAAACATTTTTTTTTTTTAAAGAAGGTGCCCGGTACAGACATGATGGATTCAACTTCTGACAGAGGCTTTCTCTGTCTACCCTTACCCACACCCCCCACCCACACCTTCAGTGCCAGGTCAAGGCCTCCACGGGTCAGATGGAAGCTTAGAGAGAAGCGATTTCCTCTTTCAAGCCCTCGCCTGAATATCCAGTAGAAACTTGTGGAATAAAACCAGGCTAAGCTGTTGTTCTCAAACATGTTTATTTGTAAGTTTTACATGGTGTGTTACAGAAATTAATGGAAAATTTCTAAAAATTTCGCTGTTCTGTTGAATGCATTGTACATAAAGTTAAAAATAATGTGTCCATATATGTTAACAAACTGTCATCTGAGGTAAAGTTAAAGTAGGTCTAGAAATGTACGGCAACAGTCATTTCTCTTTCTCATCTTTATTAAAAAAATAGGTGTCAGAACGCAGAAATTGAAATGAACCAAACCCACAGAGTAAACATTTTTTTTTTTTAAAGAAGGTGCCCGGTACATGACATGATGGGGTTTCAGCAGACATTGGGATGAGTATGAATCGTCACAAAAGTCTTGCGGCATGTAAAGATTGAAGAGCTATGGGGAGTGGGAACGGAATGACAGGTGGCGTTTCCCTGGTTTCAAAATTTAAAGTGACAAATTTAGTGCTAGTGGAGGATGAGAAATTAACAGCTGGACACATGGATTTTTCTATCAATCTAACTGGAACTGTGCAGACTCCCCATGACCCTTTGGTATTGGCACCTCAGCTCTTATATGGAAATTCCACTGTACTCCTGGAATAGGATACAGTGGTTCTGAGCTCACCAAACAGTGCTTGTTAAACATCAGAATTCTGCCAATGATAACACGGATGGCAGTCTAACAACTTGATTTTATTTCCCTCACTGGAATGCATCACATGGACCATACATTTTAAGCTCAGAGCCAGTTACATTTTCAATCACATTCAATGAATGGTGAGTTCACTGGGCTCTCACCTTCTGCTATGACATTGGCTCTAGAATGGTTTTTAACTGATACAGCGACCTCTGCCAAGGTTCACTTCGAATGTGTTAGAAGCAACCCAAAGAATCTGTACAATGGGGTAATACTGCCAGACACACTCAAGACAGCCATATTGAGGGAGAAGATAGCACCACTTGTTTAGAATCTGAATTACGGACAACATAGCAATGTAAGCCATTTCCTCATGGGAACTGCCCATCTTATTAAATCCCCAGAAAACACCATCAAACTGGTTTCAGGACATCTCTTATGGTTCTCACGCCTTTCCCATTTCCTCCTTCATGTGAAAAGATGACTTCATTGTCAAATGCATGCACTTTTCTGGAGGAGTCATGTGGACCAACAGTGATAGCTACGGAGGGAGGGAAATGGCCCTTCTCACTTTTCTGGTTCTTCAGACCTTCTGCCTTAGGATGACATTTACATGGATTCCGTAATGGACATTTGGTCAGTTTACCTAACTGGAAAAAAGTTGGATTCCAGTGACCTGATAATGTAAAATTTGGGCTTCCAATAGTAACCACCACATGGACTTATCAATTTTTTTTTTTTTTTTTTTTTTGCGAGCAAGTTTACCTTCTTCCAAAGCATTTCAGTTTCTATTGATATGAGGAACCAAAGTACGAAGGCCTATTTAAGTTAATCATATCAATATAAATTCTAATTTTCAAATTTTAAAACCAAATAATAGTAATTACCCTCAAATCCAATTAATTACATGATTCTTTAAGGTTTTCTTCTTAGTGTTAAACCACTAAATTCAACATACTGTAACTGCATAGGAACATCGGAAAACACACTTGACCTGTAGAACAATTCTCTGTAGGGCAAAAATATATAGATTCTTTATGAAAATCATGTGCTAAACATACGAACCGAACACTACACTTTTTCTGTCTCATACATGTAAAAAAAGGAAGCTTAAACTCTTCTGTTTCATGTACAAATAGTCCAGTGATTTCCGTGGGAGAAGGTGGGAGTGGAGAGGCAGGAGGGAGGGTTAGAATCTGAAGGACAGACCTTCAAAATGTGAGTTGCCTTGTTCTTGCTTTACACAGAGGGCAGGCACTCTTGTGGAAATGCTAGATGAGATGATGGAGTCACATGCTCCCTTCCTGTTCACTAGCTGCTGATTGGCCAGCTGCCGCTGCCAGCTGTCCCTGAACTCCAGCCTCCTCCCATATGCTCCAGAGTAACATCTGGAAAACCAGCCCCATCCATCACGCTTGTCACATCTTGCACTCAATCTGCTACCTTCTCTACAGTGTAATGGCATTGTTAAAAAGCATTTTCATTAACATTTATATTTACAAAAAGAAAAACACCTGGCAATTTTTTTTTTCATTAGAACTCCTTAAAGCCATTTCCCTTAAATATTTAAAGAGTTTAATGGTAAGGTTTTTTTTTTTCAAGTTATAAAATAAAAATCCCATTTGAATTTTCTGATGTACAAAAAGAGATAGAGATGAACCATTATGATCACAGAATCAGTTTGTTATTCTGAATACTCACGCCACCATTGTTCCATGAGAAAGTCAGTTTTTAAGATCCAGGGCCACATTACCAGGATTATACCAGAATTATTTGGCAAATGATTTTTCTTTGAAAATGGCACGTGGAGAAGACACTTGTCTGCATAGCATCACAGCAGCAAGAGATCAGAAAAATAAAAAATATTGTTTCATTGTACTTAGAATTTAGAGCTTCTTAGGAAATCAGATGCATTTTTCATCTTTCTCATCAATGGGACTTGATGTCCTTTCCTACTCACAGAATGAGGGTTCAAACAGAAAGCCGTTTTTCTTCACCAGGATGCAGAGATAGCTAAAAGGTTGTTTTGGCAACATTCTTGATCATAAAGAATAATCAACCACTTATTTGTCTTGCGATTTCAAGTTAATTCATTCATATGAGACTTTTTGTCCCCACTTAGGTTTCTTCATCAATGTCTTTAAAAAGTCAAAAGCAATACAAAATTTGTACACCCATTAATTTTCAAACATGACAAAGGAAGGAAAGGGAGAAAATGGCAGACCAGGCCCTGTGCAGTGATAAAGTAACATCATCACATGTCAAAAGGCATATGGATGATGAGAGTGTGGTCACAGAGGACCTCTTCCTTTGCCTAAAAGAAGTCAGTGCCAACCTTGCTGTAAGACTCTGAGGCCTGTCACTCCAAGTTTGACGTCTCTATAGCGGGTAACATGTAGAGAAATAAAAAGAGAATTATGATTTTTCATACTTGGGGAGGGGGGTCATTCTCAATCCACATTAAGAGAGCTCAGAATGTTTGTTGGGTAAGCATTTGCTTGATTTGTGATTTAACGTTGGGTATAATTTTCTTATACTTTTGTGTGTCCTTGTTTTGTTGTGCTGCCATAGGTATCTGCTGTTGGTTTCCCAAAACTCTTAGTTCCTTCCTCCAAACAAGTTCCATTGGGCAATTATGAATTTCTTTGTGGGATGAAGTGAGGTGAAAGACTATAAGAGCCTGTCGCGATGCTGATTTCCATGCTAGTCTTGAAGAAGCACCCGCCACGAGCCCGCATTGATGCTATTTCTTAGGTCTGTGGATCTGCGCATAGAGAGGCTCCAGCTCCTAGGGACAGAGGGACAAAGTGAGACCCATTCTTTTCCAGATAGGAATTTCTGAGACAACTTGGGAAGGAGAGTTTGGGATTAGAACAGAAAGGTGACAATGTATGATGGATGACATTAGGTGATTTTTGGAGTATTTGATCATGGTGCATATCATTTTGGCAACTTATTTTAATCATTAGGAAGAACTACTCACCCTGTTTTGTCCTTGGTTTTCAAGTGAGACTGATTTCTCTGTTAGGAAAATAGCATGATATAGTAGACAGAGCTGAATACTCTGTGTGATATGGACAAGTAACTTATCCTGTCTGAAACTCAGTTTCCCAACCATGAAATGGGAATGATACTGTTCATCCTGTAGGGCTTTTGAAGGATTAGAGATAAAACATCTAAGCACAGTGTTTGGCCATAACAAGTCTTCAGAAAATAGTAACTATTATAATGACTCAAGTGGAGATTTTTTTCAACACAGTTTTATGAATGTCCACTTGATACGGCTGAAATTCTATTTCGACCTGCCCTTTGGTTTCTTTAAGCAGTGATGACTGGGCACACTTCACAGCAAGGGAAACAGCAATTGTGCCTTTAGATCTTAGTTAAAAACTTCTGGGACTTGTTTCCATTCCATCTGCTGTTTCAGGTTGGGCCAGACCTTTGCCTGCGCACATTGAAGTTGTCCTGAGACATACATACACAAGGCGTTCTGTATAGAACATAGCAACCTTTCCATCCAAACTTAGGTGGTAAATGGTGTTTGGCCTTGTTGAAAGCACTTCAGGACTTCATGTCAAAGGCCTGGGATGCACTCGCCAAGCAAGACTAGATCAATGCTCTGGTCTTAAGCATACCATAGATAGGCCCTCCCATTAAAACTGACCTTTATGCTGCCACTATTGGATGTTTGTTCCAGAATTAAATAAACATAGCTACACCCTAATTATGCCATATATTATATATTAGCCTGTATCCTGCCTTGTAAGGAGTAGTGGATCCTTTTTATTTGCTTATTTTCTTGAACTATCACATTGAAATGGCATCCTGTGAGCCCCTCCTGTGGGCCTAGCACACTAGGCATTTTAGAGTACACTGACTTTTTAATTTATCACAATAGCCATGTAAGGCAGATGTTTGATCTCTTTTGCAAATGAGAAATCAAGCACAGAAAAGTTAAGTCATTTGCGCATAGTTACACAGCTAGTGAGTTTGGGGGATGAGACTTAAAAGTAGGTCCAGTACTTTCCCTAGTCTATTACAACAGCTGATAAAAAGGGTCCAACTCTTCAAGCTGTAGTGTGTAGAGTGCTTTGGAGTTTATCAAGTTCCCTCATGTCTTATTTTATCTGCCTAAGAGTTCTAAGAATAGCTTTTATTCTTTCCATCCTCATTCTGCAGATAAAAATGAAAGGTCAGGGAGGTATGTGATCTCAGGGTCATTGTGCTGCCACTCCTGTGTCTCATATATCACATTGTTCATCTTGATTGTAAAGTTGAAATGAACTAAAAGATAATTTTGTCCAGATCCATCATTTTACAGATGAGGAATCTGAAGCCCAGAGAGGAGAGATTTTGTTTCACCAAAGTCACAGGGTTACTTAGTAACCATGCTGAGAATAGGATCCAGGCTATTTTCTTATATACTTACTAGAGGCCTGGTGCACGAAATTCGTGCACTTGGGGGTGGGGATTCCCTCAGCCCTGCTTGCACCCTCTCGCAGTCCGGGAGCCCACGGGGAGCAAGCCTAAGCCATCAGTAGGACATCCTTAGTGCTGCTGCAGAGGCAAGAGAGGCTCCCGCCACTGCCACTGTGCTCGCCAGCCGTGAGCCCAGCTTCTGGCTGAGCAGTGCTCCCCCTGTGGGAGCACACTGACCACCAGGGGGCAGCTCCTGCATTGAATGTCTGCCCCCTGGTGGTCAGGGTGCGTCATAGCAACCGGTTGTTCTGCTGTTCAGTTGATTTGCATATTAGCCTTTTATTATATAGGATTATGTTTATCTTCTTCCAGGGAGAAGGCCCCTCCTAGCCTTCCAGGCACCCTATTTCATAATGTACAAGAGAACCAATTTGTCCTCCAATGCTTTACATCCATGGGACTTTATTCTGTCCTTTAAACATAATGAAAACATGCAATTCTTCTTCCAAGTATCCAATGACAAAGTATGGAGGCCCATTCTTCCACACCCTGCTTCTGGTTACCACTCGCCAGTTCCTTCTGCCATTTTACATGTGAACCTAGCACAGTATGTGTGCAATAAAAGTTTGTTGAACTAATGAATGACTATGATACAATATCAATGTTCTTTACTAAAAACACTCTAATTTGGCTTTAATTCTCTCAAAATCTAATCTAGCAAGATCTAGAGCAAGATGATTTATTAAGCACCTAATCTATTCTCTGTCAACATCTTGAAATGTTTCCAATACATGTTGTAAGGCTAAACTTGTTCGTTTCCTGTGTGTTTGTAATCCACACAGGAAAGAGGGGAGGAAGGGGGAGGTGGGGTGAGCCAAGGTGGAGCTGTCAAGTACAAATCCTGGGAAATGCCATTTTTGGGGTCTACGCCAGGCTATCAGGATGCCTCTTGATCTTCTCTGAGTAGACTTCCTCAGCCCACTCTTCTTTTTGAATGCCCTCAGAATTCAGGCTGCTTTGATCTCACCCTACAATGTGCTCTGTTCTAAGTTTGGAACTAATTTATTCAACGGAGAATGACACCCTAAAACAGAAGAAGACAGCAGGCTCAGATGGGGTAATTAATGCCACACTGCATTAACTTTCTGCAGCTGAGATAAATATTCACACGTCCTTTGCTTGCTGGAATTTAGCTTCAAATACCCATCACAACAGCGGTAACGAGTGCAGTCAACTCTCAATTATCCCCACTAATGAAGGGGAGCAGTGGCGTGGAAACCCCAAGCCGCAGATCGTCCCAAAGTCTGACACTGTGATGCATTATCCGTTTGGGCAGCAGCTTTGCCTTCCTTGTTACCGAATCTTAGACTGTCAGAGCTGGGGGAGCTTGGAAATCACCTGACCCAGAAATTTCCAACCTGACTTCCCACAAGGTCATGATAGGGTCTTGAGGCTGTTTTCAACATTCCAAAATGTCTAAATGGAATCACACGTTAGCACAGCACGCTGGTGTCTTTAGTTTTCACTGGGCAGATTTGACCACATCTTCAAATCCTTCAAAGGCTCCCCATTACCCGCAGGGCAAGGCCAAAGCTCCTTTGCTGGGCACATGAGACCCATTAGTCTCCTAGTCCATTAGAGCTAATAAATGCCCCTTCCAGACCACGAGTCAAACTCAACCATCAGGTCACATATAGCAGGCTTTAAAAAAAGTTTCATTTTTTAACACCTCTGCCACAATGTTCTTTCTGAAATGGATTTGGTCATGCCAGTCTCCTGCTTGAAATGACCCTCCTGACTCCTTATTACCCCAAGGATAATGCAAACACCTCAGGATGGCACAGGAGGCCTTTCCAATAATATGGCTTCACTCTCTCCTATGCCCCCTTCCATCTGGTACTTCTGGTCTACCTGACAAGGCAGGCACTTCCCACCTCTGAAACTCTGCTCAGGCAGTTCCTTCTGCCTTTGGGCCTCTCTTTGTCCTGCACCTGAGATTCCCTACTTTCAGAATCATTTCAAATATAATGGCTTCCTAGACTCTCTAGTGCTCTGTGTAGACCTCTGTCTACAGTGCCACCATGTAGCTCCTAAACCCTCTACACAGTGAGCTCCACTACACCCTTCACATCAGTATCCTAGATGCTGAGTGAGAGCTTGGAACATGGGCAGCACACCTGCTAACAACATGGAGATTGAGGATGTGAGTGAATAAATGAGCAGTTCTTCTTTTATCAGGAGCTGGTGAATCCTCATGAACTTTAAGCTCAGTTGGGCCTGGCATCTTAATATCTTCATTTCTAGAGGACAATAAAGTAGATGGAAAACCAGACAATACAAATAAAACCCAAACCAACTAACCAATCTTTGACTTAAGTTGACTCCCCTGTTTGCTGGGAGGTGCAGTGAAGGGATGAAAGCATGCAGATTTGAAATCAGGCAGATCTAGTTAGTATCCCCACTGCCAATTCCCTGCAGCCTGAGGCCCCTGGGGACACACTTGCAGTGGAACCTGCTGGGCTGATTACTCACTGCAGCGAGGGAGCCACGGTATCTGTGTAAGAGGGCCTTAGGAAGGGCTTGTTACAGGCTTGGGCTTATGTTAGATGATTTGGGGGAGAGCCAAGAATGTAAGGGTTTTTTTCTCTAGGGTGGATGCCCTTAGGAAGCAGGACTATGATTATTTTAATAAATCTCATCTTGAGGGTAGAAAGAATGGAGCAAGGTTAAAGGGAGGAGAGAAGGATGTTTGGTCATTTTTATACTGTGGACGATGCTTATGTTGCCTGTCCTGGGCCATGGCTACTGAGTGATCTTGTCTTGACTATCATGGTCACAGAGTGGTCTTGTCTGATGCTGATGATCAGTGAACTAGTTAGTTCACAGTCAACAGAGCACCAAGGCCTCGCTGTGAGGATGGGGCTCCTGGCTGCCAGGCTGCCATCTTCTTTCTCACTGTTACCCACTTAGTACCCATAGGACTCTGTGATGGTCCCTTAGCCATCTGAGAGCCAGTTTCCTTATCTGTCAAATGAAGCTAGAAATCCTTTCTGTGAGCTGTGCCGTGAGCATTAAAGGGGAAAATACACCGAGATTGCCTAGCACAGAGGAGGCAGTCTCTAAGACAAACTAGGTTCCCATATGTCTGGCCCATGGCTTTATGCTTACTCTGCAGAAGATGCTCTTAGGCCTAAAATCACCTGTCAGTGGCTTCTTCTTCACAGCATGTAAGAGCCGCTACAACTGGGCTCTGTGATGAAACCTAATACTGTCTGTGGATCAGCCCGGGACACTGGACAGAAAGAATGTGCGTTCATCTGAGGAATCTGGCTGCAGGCCCTGTGGAGAACAGAGACTTCCACATACTTG